CTTTCTACTGCTGAAGAGTATTTCACCGTGTGAATACGCCACAATTTATCTTTCTCACTGTTGATGGGCATTTAGGTTGTTTTCAGTTTTTGGCCATGATGAGTGATGTTACTATGGACGTTCTTACACGTGTCTTTGCTGTATGTGTGCTGGCATTTCTGGTGGGAATATATCCAGCACTAGAACTGCTGGGTTACAGGGTATGTTCAGCTTTAGAAGATGCTGAAAAATTGTCCTCTGAAGTGGTTTTATCAATTTACGCTTCCACCAGAAGCGTATGATGATCTCAAATGCTCTACATCTTTGTCAAGATTTTCAGTGTTTTCCTTTTTGGTCATTTTGGTTGGTATGCACTAGCATTTTATAGTTTTAACTTGAATTTCTGTAATGACTGATGAGCTTGAGCAGCTTTTTCATGTTTTTTTGCCTTTTGGATATTCTTCTGTGAAATAAGAAGCTATTCGTATCTCTGGCCAATAGTTAAAGTGGCTACCTTTAAAAAAAATTGTTTGCTAGGAGTCCTATATATACTCTGGATACAGTAATCACAGAGGTATACATTGGAGTTATCTTCTTGGTATCTTCTAATGAACAAAAATGACTCTTTCTATTGCATTTGATAATGTTATCCTGTATAGTTAGTATACCTTTGCTTATCCTGAGATGCTAAAAATAATTCCTTATTGTCTTCTGGAAGCTTCAGTTTGACCTTTCACATTTAGAATTTAAATCTCCTCTGGACTTGAAGTTTGGTGTGTGGTGTGAGGTACAAAGTCTCACAGGCTTCTTCCCCTTTCTTTACCTGGCTGCCCCAGCAGAAGGTACTAGAAAGAATGTCTTATTCTAACTGTTCTGTGGTGCTACCTTGTCATAAATCAAGTGTTCATAAATATGTGGGTCTGTTTCTGGTCACTTAATTCTGCCCCATTTATCTATTTGACTATCCTTATGTCAATACTATACTGCTTTAGATCCTTAATGCAGCTTTATGATAAACTGTAATTTCTAGTAGTATAGTTGATCCAAATTTATTTGTCTTATTCAAAAATGCCTTAGCTATTTTTAGTCCTTTGCTTTATTTAACTTAATCCTCATAAAAATCCTATGATATAAAGTAATAATGACTTTCATCTCCATTTCACAGATTGGTCAACTCAGAGAAGTTGAGTCATTTGCCCAGATTATATAACTTCTAAGTGATGGGAAGGGATAAAAGCCCAGATTTATCTGATTCTAGACCCAAATATTTAAAGTCCTTCATATACAGCCTCCTTCATCCTTAAGCCAGGTGATCCCTTCAGGGCACTTAATATGAATGCAATATAATTTTAAGAAATGTTCATGTTCTAAGTCACCCATTGCCAGTTAAAAATCTTGTCTGACAACTACAAAAAGCCACTTCCTAGTGAGACTCAGGAAAACAAACAAGAGTTAAAAAGCTTCTTGGATTCCTTCCACAACCCCCTCTGTCTCCAGAGTAACAATCACATCCCTCACATGGACTCTTAAGGCCTCTGAGGCCTGGCTCCCCTCCACCTTTCCAGCTTTAACTGTCACTATTAAGCCATGCTCAATGACTTCTATTCTCCCAGTAAGCCAAGCTGCACCTTTGCTCAGAATGCCCTCTCCCCCTCCTTTTTCTTTACAACCTGGTACCACTTGCCTTGGGAGGCCATTCAGAACCTCATCTGGTTGGGCACTTCTCTTCCTCTGAGTCCTCTATTTCAGCATGCCACACTGTCCTAGAGTTCCGCTGTCTGTCTCTCCAACTAGACTTCAGGGCACTTGAGGCTGGGCCGGCACTGTCACCATGTTCTGTAATGAGCAAGCTAGTGAACAGAACAGATGTTTGCTACAAAGTCCTGAGAGAGATTAGAGACACACTTTTTTGCTAAGTACTATAAGTAAATAGTAGACTCTTGAGAGGAGGTCTGAGGGAAAAGAATTCTAATGTACCCAGGATGTACTCTTTGGGAGAAGTGGCACATTAGAAGGCATAGGGAGGTGATGGAAATACCTTCTGTGATGGACTTGGGCTTGCAGGTGAGATAGAAATAGGACTGAATGACAGCAGCGTCAAGTGTCAAAGGACTATATATATAGTAAGGCAAGCTGTGACTCACTAAAAGACTTCAGAAGAAGTGAAAGATTGCCATGAAGTATACAATTTAACAACAAGGCAGGTTCTTCTGAGATGTATTCATTCAACAAACTGAGAGTCTGGTTCTCAGGGGAGCCATTTCTCTCTCTCACCAATTTTGAAAGCAACACTTTAAGAATAGGGGGAGGAATACATTAGAAAAAGAGGAGTCTCTTCAACAGGGATATTTTCAAGAAAATAAGGCATGCCCATCCCATCTGGGTAGAAGGAGAGACCATCCCTAGGTCTTTCCCAGCTCTGTAATCCCCAGGCTGCTTGAATGCGGTCCAGTTCATTGTGCCAACCCAACACAGTGTAGCCCACATTGTGAAGTCTGGGAATTTCCAGTTTAAGTAAAAGCTCAGAGGCTTTTCTCACTAAGAATATAAGTTTTGTTTTCAAAACATCTTTCCCAGGAGCACCAAGCTGATTCTTTTAAACTACCAGCAACATGGATAAAGGGAAAAACTACAAAGTGTCCAAAAGGTTTTCACCTTTTCTCAGTTAATTCCCATTTTTATGGTCACTTTGTTTACTGAAGGGTGGAGAGAGGATTAAAAGCCTCTCAGAGAATGGAGAACCGCTCCAGTCCTGGCTTCCTCTACTAGTTTAGCTGTACTCAAACAAGGATTTACTTCCCCTTCTCTTAGAAATTCAAAATCCAGGACATCACAGGATTGTGGACCTTGTGAAGGATAGATAATCTTCTGGCATAAGAAACACTCTTAATTAGTTTTTTCTTTTTTCAAAATTTTGGGGGGTTTATTGACATTTGGGCAATTTAGATGATCTAAGAAAATCTTCAAATAAGAAAAGCTTTTGTCTCCAACTTATGCTTTACTTAGAAATAAGTTTCCAGAAATATAAATGTCAGAGCATAGGCAGTTGTGCTAAAAGCTAGATGCTTCTGATCCAAACTATCTTTCTTAGAAAGGATTGCTACATAGGTTGCAGATATGAATGATTGATTCATTTTCTGCCCAGATATAAAAATCTATTCATAACATTTTCCTGTTTGGGCAGGGGAAGTGACTACGGGGACGAACAAACAAAAAGCTGGCTGGGAATCCAAAAAGCTCCACTATTCCATGATGTTTTCTCTGTGACGTTGCCATAGAGAAGCTCTAAGACAGCAGGGGCACATGTGATGTTACCTATGACTGTATGGCACATGGCACTTCTGTGGCACACGGTTTAAGCTCAGTGTCATTTGATGGCCAGGAGACCAACTTGAAGGTCCTCATGGACTTTAACAGACCCTATTGGATGCAGACAGCTGGGGCCAGGTTCACATTAGTGAAACGAACTCCATGTTGCTAAGACTGTAGTGCCCGGCTGGGCTAGATATTTGCCAACAGAGAGCAGGGGTTGCTGAGAGTGCCAATTCTAAACAGACTCTTCTGAGCAGAATGACAAGTTGCCATAGGGTGCCCGCAACATCCTCACCCCTTCAGGCAAAGGAGAATAGGGAGGTGAGAAAACACACCCTTATCCACCTGACCCACTGATGCTTTTTGATTCAGGGGGAAAAAATGTCTTTGCTAACTCTAGCTGCCTGAACAGAAATGACTTTCCAAGAAGCTAGAAGCCGTGCCCTGAAAAGGACTCTGGGAGATCTGAGGGTTGACAGGCATCAGGTTTGTGTGTGAAGGATCCACACTGAATGGCAACAGTTCAAGAACTACTTCAGTGGCTCCAAAACATGGAAATGGCAAAAGTTCCAAAGACAGACTTACTGTTTAATGACAGAGGGACCTTTGTATACATTCTGAGTGAAAGCTAATTTCAGGGATTTAAGATTTGCTGAAATCCCAGGTATTTTCCATTTGTTTTCAAAGGAAGTGTCCTTCAAATACAGTATACAAAAATTTACAATAGCCCTATTTTCAGGAATATATAATATTTAGAGCATAAAGAATAATTTCAGATTTTTGCAAACTATATTGCATAGGAAGAGGGGAACTGGACTCCAGATATGGGTTTACTAGGTGATAGGGACTCTTTTCTCTATGGTTTAATATGTTTTCCATGTTTTGAACCCTGGGCAAAGGATGGGCCTGTTCCCTGTTTTATCTAAAAACTGACAGAAGTGTGGGTGACCATTTCAAAACCATGTCCAGCAGTCTTGAATTTTCATCCCTATTCTGTGACATATCCTTGCCATATGTCAAGTATGAAAAGCTAGTAACAGCCGATTATTTAATGAAGGAGAAAATATGTAAAAAAAAATTAAAAAGACAACTAAGCAAATCCTGTGGATACAAACTACAAAGCCTTTTTTTGCTTCCTAGGAGGTTTACTCTATCCTTCTATTTCTAGAGCTTTTTCTAAATTGGATATTTTCAAATATGAGAAAAGTGTTAGATCAGATCAAATCAGATTTTGTAAAACACTGCATGATGATCAGAGAAAGGAAAAACCAGCCCTGTTCAAAGCATTTTCAGCAGGATGACAAAATATACCAGATCCTTGCACAAACAGCATGGATTACATTAACAGGCCTCCCTGGGTGAGCGGAGGACCTTATTCCCAAATCTCTTTGCCTACCTTACACTTACCCCAAGGTTATATAACCTTTAGAATGGAATTGGAAATTCTTCTGACCCTGCCCTGCTTGCTGAGAGAGCCGAGCCAGTGGCTGGCAAGGGTATAATCAAAGAGGTGAAACTGGAAACACACAAATTCAGTCCTCTTGTCTCAACCCAGAGACTGCGCAGGCAGAAAGACAGACTCACCCCTGCCTCCCTCCTCCCTTCCTCTGGCCTAAGTTTACGCTGACTTCACCCAAAAGGCACCTAACCCTCCCAGAAGAGCTGGGAGGGGCTAACGGACCATGCCCGGACCTGGGGGCTGGAGGTGCGGGCAGCATACCGTATTTAAGATGCTGAGTTTGTAGAGCACTCAGCTTGGGAAGGGACGATAGGATACTCAATTGAGCAGCACTTTTGGAAACTCAAGTTTTGAGAAAGGCTAAGCAAGAGCAAGCAAAGGCAGAAAACAACGGAGTGGTGAGCACATCAAGAGGGAAAGTGTAAGGCTGGAATGTGCTGCAGCTTTGCGAACCTCCACTGAGCACACCTAGATTCCCTCAAAGGAAGATCTTTTTCATCCAGGCCCACGAAAGATGATGAAAAAGACCTTCTCAGCTGTGACCTGGCTCTGCATTTTCATTGTGGCTTTTGTCAGCCACCCCGTGTGGCCACAGAAGCCCCCTAAGCGCAAGACACCCACACAGCTCAAAGTGGCCACCTGCTGTGAGGAGGTGAAGGAGCTCAAGGCCCAGATGGCCAATCTAAGCAGTCTGTTGAGTGAAGTGAGCCAGAAGCAGGAGAGGGACTGGGTCAGCGTGGTCATGCAGGTGATGGAACTGGAGAGCAACACCAAGCGCATGGAGTCCCGGCTCACAGATGCTGAGAGCAAGTACTCCGAAATGAATAACCAGATTGACATTATGCAGCTGCAGGCGGCTCAGACTGTCACTCAGACCTCGGCAGGTAAGGAGAATGTGTCCTCACGCTGCTCACCCTGCTCCCCGGAAAACAGCCAAGTGTGTTCTGTCTGTAGCATTGTTTCTCGGTAACTGGGTTGTCAGGATGATTACTGGGAGTTCTTCTGGAGTATACTTTCCTGTGTACATGCCACCAGCTCTATTTTCTCCTTAGTGAAGGCTTACGGAATTCTTCTTTTGGCATCTAATATTTTGTAAATTTACCCAATACCTGCATTTCCCTTTATTCACACAATATTTCAGCATTGTGAAGGTTATGAATTACCGAGAGATTATATGGTTTGCCCAAAGTGACACAGCAAGTCCTAGAAACAGAATTCAAGTCTTTGTGATTGGTCCATGTCCTTACCCAGAGCTGACAGGCTATACCCTCAGTCTCAAGGAAGCAGGAATGAACAGCAAAACTGACATCTATTGCTTTGGAAGCACTTTACTGAACACAGTTCTCTCATGTCCCTAAGATTTAGTACAATGGGCACTAAAGGAATTTTGTGTCCTCTCTTTTCTCAGTGGCTTGGAATTAAGTATACACTGTCTAGAGCCATTTAAAGAACTCTTTTGAGTTCAGGAAAGGTGAGGCTCCTCAAATTTCCTGAATTCTGATATTTCTATTTTTTCCCCTGATATCAAATAAAGTTCTCCCCAATAAGACAGGAGATAAGGCAGTGCAATGGTGAAATCTGGATTTTCAGTAGGTCAAAAATAAGACACATTTAATGTTTTCTTTGGCAAAATGGCTTTCTAGTTAGCTTGGCTCAGATGGGCCAAGGTGAATTTATTGTTCAGAGAGAACTCTGATTTTCTGAGATTATCAGGAAAGTGTTAGTTGTAAGGAGCATATCCTATGGTTATGTCCATTCTTGCTGATATAGAAACTTTTTGGTCACATTATAAACCAAGTCAAGAACAAAGTACAGAGTAAGTCACTGGTTATACTCAGCTCAAATGAACAAAAAGTGTTAACATGAAATAAAGCTTAAAAATGAAGCTTAAATCAACATGCATAAAACACTAAGCATGTACTTCCTGGTCCTCAGTTCAGGACTAGAAAGGTATTTGCATCCATTTTCCAGACAAGTGAGTCCTGACTTGGTCTCTGAGATGAAACCAGATACATGGAAGACCAGGCCAGGCAGAAGAATCTGACCCTGCTACTTCCCGCTCCCCAAACAGGGGTCTTCTCACCTGTCAGCAGGCAGTTTCCTGCGGCCAAGTGCAGCTCTCCTGCTGGGCCTGGACATCTTCCTCATTTTTCTTCTCTATTACCAGGTGCTGGGTGACCCTTACACTTTGTAAGCAGACAGCCCCAGGAGAAAGCAGGAAGCTGCTGCTTTCCTCAGTAATAGGAAGTGAAGAACTCTGATGGAGAGAAGGCCAGCGACTCCCCTCTCCCTCCCACATGTGCTCTGCCTGGGACAGTTCCCACAGCAGAAGTGCTATCAATTGCAATCTGTGCTCTTCTTGAAAGCTCAGTGCAGCCCCCACCCCCACTCCCCCCAGGGATCGCAAGACACAGAGGGCAGGAAGCATCTCCTGAGCAGCTGAGAGTCCTCTGAATCCTTTCAGGAAAGGCTGTCTCTTCCATATTCACAACAATGACATTCAGACAAAATCTGACAGAAAGCAGTAGCCCCAGGGTAGCTAAGGAAGCATTTAAATTAACCCCAGAGTGAAAACAAGCCTGTGCAATGCTCTCATTTCCTTTTTAAAATAATGTTGGCAGGGAAGTCCTCCAAGAGCGCTTGTACTTTCATTTGAGATTAGTGTTAGAATAAGGTGGGGGATAAGATTATAAAACCTATTTAGGGTCCTAGTAGGCAATAACCATTATCTCTGAAAAACAACAAAAACAAACAAACCAAGAAACAACAAATTAGACCCTATGAGATACTCGTAGCTTATTCGGTAATAGAGGCTGGCTGTCCCAGAGGTTGAAATTTAAACAGGAGCATCTGTCACATGACTCTCATACATTGTAATGTTTCTAGAATTCATGGCCTAGAACTACAGCAAGATAATTTACTTCTGAGTTAACCTGAAACCATCTGTTCGACGCTACCAAGGTGAAGGGCTTCCCCATCCTGCAGCCCCACCACAAGTGAAGCCAAACACACTCCCTCTTCTTCTCCTGATGCCATGTCTCCAAAACCCAGACATTGTCTAGTAAAGAACACTCATGTGAATTTTGTGGTAATAATGAAGTCTCAGTTTTTAAACTTTCAATTTAGATGCAGCTGAAATGCCTGCTTGCTACAGAACCCCAGGGTTTGGATGCCAACTCCTATCTGTGGTTTGCCCCTTTTGTAGATGCCATCTATGACTGCTCGTCTCTCTACCAGAAGAACTATCGCATCTCTGGAGTGTATAAGCTTCCTCCGGATGACTTCCTGGGCAGCCCTGAGCTGGAGGTGAGGCCATCACAACCCAGTGCCCACGTTCCATCATCTGTCCTCCACCCCCTCCGAGGGCTGGGAACAGCAGGGCTGGTTACAGTCTAAAGGTAAAGGAACTCAAGGCAGAGAAGCAAACATCAAATACCAAAGCTATCCAAACATTCAATTTATGGAGGAAAAAAAATCCAGTCATTTGTTTTGCCCCTTCAAATCACTATCAAATACCAAACTGTCTAACCTCGATTAGATAATTTTATAACCACACTTAACTAGTTGAAATCTCCTGCCAAGTTCTAGAGCAGCTGCTCTCTGGGAGAGGATAACAGAGGTTAGGTGTAGAGGTATTACCAGGAGTGCCTGAACTTTCTTCCCTTCCAACTACGTGCACTCACCCCCTCCTCAGTGCTGATAATTCTTCCTCTGCAAACCACCACCTTGCCCCAGCTTGCCAGCACGTGGGTAGTACCGCCGCCAGAGGGAGCCTAGGCGACAATGGAAGTGCATGCATCCACTGCCTCTGGGGGAGGGGAGAAAGGTGCTGAGGCCTGCCCTCGCCCTCCTGCCGCCTCGCCTCTGTGGGTCCCTGACCAGAATATCCTCTCTGCTCCAGGTGTTCTGTGACATGGAGACATCAGGGGGTGGCTGGACCACCATTCAGAGACGAAAGAGTGGCCTTGTCTCCTTCTACCGGGACTGGAAGCAGTACAAACAGGGCTTTGGCAGCACCCGTGGGGACTTCTGGCTGGGGAATGAACACATCCACCGGCTCTCTAGACGGCCAACTCGGCTACGTGTGGAGCTGGAGGTGAGCACAAGGCCTGGGTCCCCAGGACTGGATCAGGCTGCCACATACAACTGTGCACAGCTATAGGGATGTCATTCCTATTCTTATTCACCATAGGCTTATATGTTTATTACAGTGGTTTTTCTGCAGGTTGTAGTACAGTTGAGGAAGAATATGTTTTTCTCCTATTTTTCACAAAAGTGAGGCTGCAGATACACAAGAAGCTGGACTTAGCTCAAAGCAGAGTAACCCAACTGGCCCGGGACATGAGGTCCTCTATGTGCAAATCTTACTGGTTGGTAACTCTCATCAAAGACCTTGAAGCATCAATATATTCTCAAATTACTCTTATGGCATCTCTGAGTAGGACACGACAAAACCACACATCTACACGTCACAGATAGGGAAGTGAGGGGATACAGAGAGACTAATCAAGGCCATATGGTGACTCAGGAGAGAAGTCTGACTTAGGACCCTTGTTTTCTGATTCCCAGGTAAGTGTGGTAAACTAGAGGTAAACAAGTAATAAAGTCTTACTAGACTCCCAGCAGTAAAAAGTTGTATGGCTGTGGGATGGAGAGAGAGAAGAGGTACAGGGGGATATGAAATGAAGCCCTGGCCACAGTTTTCTAAGGCTCTGCCTCCTCCCTCTCAGGACTGGGAGGGCAACATGCGCTATGCTGAGTACAGCCACTTTATTTTGGGCAATGAACTAAACAGCTATCGCCTCTTCCTGGGGAACTACAGTGGGAACGTGGGGAATGATGCCCTCATCTATCATAACAGCACAGCCTTCAGCACCAAGGACAAGGACAATGACAACTGCTTAGACAAGTGCGCCCAGCTACGCAAAGGTGAGATTTAAGGGTGCGGGCAAGTTCAGGTATAAGCCCACAGTCCCACTTGAGGAGAAAGGCTGAATTTCTAACTGCACAGTTGGTGTTCTGGCTTTTGCACTTCTTGTTGACATTGCTATAATTGCTTAGCTACCGTTAAAAAAACAAATCCCTGATGTCCGGTCTCTCAGCTATTTCCCAGGGGAGGATGAACTCTGCTTACTAGCACTGCTGTTTTTTTGTGCCAGGTGGATACTGGTACAACTGCTGCACAGACTCCAACCTCAATGGCATTTACTACCGCCTTGGAGAGCACAACCAGCACCTGGATGGCATCACCTGGTATGGCTGGCATGGGTCTACCTACTCCCTCAAACGGGTAGAGATGAAAATACGCCCAGAAGACTTCAAGCCCTAAAAGGAGGCCTGCTGTGGAGCAGGGCTAGAGAAATCGGGACAAATGGAGGCTGGGCAAGGGCAGAGGAGAGGAAGAGAATACAGAAAGGGGAGGGGCCTATACTCTCCACTGAGAGAGTAAGTCTCTGAGAAGCACGATAAATTATACATACCCAGGATGTTACTGTCAACGGGATGAGGCTTTTAGACACAATGGGTCCTGACACACACACTTCTCAGGAGGCGGCCCTGAGGGGGCTCTTTCTGTCAGTGATCCCTATCATGGCAGCAACTTCTCCTTTCTACACGATTTTCCTGTGAAATAATTTTCTCTATTTACTTTATGGCCGAGGTTATGTGAGGGCAGAAAACAAATCCCTTTGCTAAAAAGAACCATATTATTTTGATTCTCAAGGAGAGGCCTTGGGGTGGTAGAGAAAGGTGTGAAAGAAGGTGGTGGAGTAGAGAGTTTCTATTTTTAAATCCAGTGAAATTACTTTCAGTCTACACTTTTTTTTTTTAAGACAAAAATTGTTCTGCTGGAGGTGAACTGACCCAGGCTGGAGTTGCTTGGAGGAAACTTGAGGGCACTGGGCCTTGCATCTGTCCTTGAAGCACCTCCCCTTCACGGCCTCAGTCAGGGTACAGCACTGGCAGACACACAGTGGGTCTAGCAGTGGCTGGGGAGCTCCAAGTGGAGCTGGGGGAAAGTCGCTTGCGCATGCTTGCACAAAACTTCTTTAAAATATTCAATATTTTAGTCAACATAGATATATTTACTTTTATTTACTTTATAAGGAAAGAGCTCAAAGAGCTTCCTTTTTTATCTTGTCTATAAAAAATGGCTGAAGAAGGGAGGTAGATTACACTATGGTTAATAATTCATGCTGTACATATGCATTTTGCTTTGTAAGAAAAATTGTAGTTTGATTTATACATTCAGTTTCTTTTCCTTCTACAATAAACTCTTTTAAAACTTGTTTTTCAATTATTACCATTACCATTTATTTAGACTATGGCAAGAAGTTTAACTGAAAAACCAGAGGGTCACCAGTGAGAAAGAGTCTTGCGGTCTTCAGGGAAACCAAAGGAGAAGCAGGAAGCCAAAACGAAAAAACGAGGGCCAAAAAGGGCAGCAGCCATTGGAAGGGGTCAGATACTGGCCCACCCACCTAATCCTGACAGAGGCCAAAGTCATCACTTGGCTTCAAAATACTTTGCAAACCAACACCCCTGTCTTCTGCATGAGCAAACTAGCACATAAATGAGCAGAGAGGCACACTGGAGGAGGGCTCCCCCAGGGCGGTCACTTATGCAGAAACTTCCTAAGGTGGGTGTGGGAATCTGAGATGCTCAGCAGCCAGCACAGCGCCAGGAAAGAGAGTATTGAAAGATCAGGAGGTTAAAGGAGATAAAGAGGAGGAAGAGTACAAGATGCGTATGGCAGCAGTAGCTGATAATTCTCTCAGCTCCTATATACCCCACAACTAAAAAATCCTGAGGCTCTAGGCAACAGAAGCTAAAATAAATGACTGGGACTACCTCAAACTAAAAAGCTTCTGCAAAGCAAAGGAAACCATCAATAAACCGAAAAAGCAACCTATGCATTGAGAAAAAACATTTGCAAAATCCAAAATATATAAAGAATTCATACAACTCAACACTGAAAAAGCAAATAACCCAGACCTGAATAGACATTTTCCAAAGAAGGTATCCAAATGGCCAATAGATAACACAAAGAGGTGCTCCACATCATGAATCATCAGGGAAATGTAAGCCAATACTGCAGTGAGACATATCACCTCACACCTGGCAGGATGGCTATTATCAAAAAGACAAAAGAAAACAAGTATTGGAGAGGACATAGAGAAAAGGGCGCCCGTGTACAACACTGATTGGAATATAAACTCGTACAGCCACTGGATAACAGTATGGAGGTTCCTTAAGAAATTAGAAATAGAACTACCATGTGATCCAGCAATTACACGTCTGGGTATCTATTCGAAGGAAATGAAATCACCAGCTCAAAGAGAGATCTGCACTCTCATGTTCACTGCAGCATCATTCACAATAGTCAAGACATGGACACAACCTACATGTCCTTCAACAGATGAACAGATAAAATGTAGTACACACACACACACACACGGAATAGTATTCAGCAGTAAAAGAGAAGAAAATGCTGCCATTTGTGGCACCATGGATAAATACGGAGGGCATTATACTAAGTGAAATAAAACAGAAAGACATACTGTATGGTATTACTTATATGTGGAATCTAAAAAAAAAAGCTGATTTCAAAGAAACAGAGAATAGAATGCCAGGGTATAGAGGATGGGGAAAGAGGGAGATGTAGGACAAACGGCACAAACTTTCAGTTGTCAAATGAGTAGGTTCTGAGGATTTAATGTACAGCACGGTAACTATGTTTAATAATACAGTATTGCATACTTGAAATCTGCTGAGAGTAGATCTTAAGCATTCTTACCACACACACACGTACACATACACACACACATGAGAGTTGACTATGCGAGGTGATGGATGTGTTAATTATCTTGATCTTGGTAATCATTCCATAATGAACATCAAATCATCATGCTATATATTTTAAACATATGCAATTATATTTGTCATTATTCCTCATAAAGTTGGGGGGAGCAGCTATATTGCTATATTGTACTAATCAAAACCTATAGTTGCTGAAATTTATTCATATTTTTATATTTACACAATTGAGTAACTTAGGTATGAACTTTTTGTGACAAGGTTAATGTTGGAAAAAAAAATGTTACCATAAAAAACAAAAAACCAAGACTTAAAGTCAGCCTCTGTGGTTGACCTCACCTTCTGGGAAAATTTCTCAGAGAGTTGGGTAGAGGGAGAGGGGAGAGCAGCTATTAAAGAACAGAGTATTCCCAGACACTAACCCACAGTGGTGCATATACTGACTGTAACTACAACTTGTAAAGTGCCTCTCTGGTGCTACTGATGGATACCAAGGACTCAGAGACCGTCACAACACAATCTGTGACCTCAAAGAGGGCAGAACCATCCAGAACTGGGAGACCTCAGTGTCACTCCTGAAGGTAAAGAACATTTGGTTCTGACCATATCCTCTAAGACACATGAGAAGAGAAGTTCCCAAAAGTATGAAAAAGATTAGGCTTGACAGGCAGTTAGAGCTGCATGTCCATTTAGTAAGCACTGGCTGTTTTGTATCTTTAATTCTATAGATGTCTCAATCAGAAACATTTTTGGTAAGGTGATTAGTCATGGAGATAGAGATCCCCAAAATGGGATCAGTGTCCATATAAAAGCCCCTAGAGGGCAAGTGCTCTTTGCTCTTTGCCACTTGAGGACACAGTGAGAAATTGGCAGTGTGCAACACGGAGGAGGGTACTCACCAGTCCCCAACCATGCTGGCCCCTGAGGTTGAACTTCCCAGCCTCCAGAATTATGAGAAATAGACATCTGTTATTTAAGGCACCCAGGCTATGGCATTTTGTTATAGCAGCCCAAATGAATTCAGACAAGAAATCGGAACCAAGAAGTGAGGTGCTCAGGAGCAAATACCTAGAGATGTGGAAGTGGCTGTGGACCTGGGTAACAGGCAGAGGCTGGAAGGAGGGCTTTGAGGGTGCCTGCTAGAAAAGCCTAGATGCCATGAAGGGACTCTAAAGGCAATTCTGATGAGGTCTCTGAAAGGAAAGAGGACAACTGGAAAGAAAGCCTCTGTCTTCTTAGAGATTACCTAAGTAATCATGAACAGGATGTTAGTGGAAATATGGACAGTAAAGGCCATTCTGATGAATTTTCAGATGCAAATGAGGACTGTGTTACTGGAAAGAGAAAGGGCAATCCTGTTATAAAATGACAAAAAAAAAAAGGTTGAATTGTGTCCATTTTCTAGTGTCTTGTGGAGGTAGAACTTGTAAGCATTGAAAATTGGGCATTTAGCTGAGGAGATTTCTACGTAAAGTGTTAAAGGACTGGCTTGGCTCCTTCTGACTGCTTATGGTAAATGTGAGGGAGAGAAACAACTTGGTGATAGCAATATTAAGCAAAAATAAACCAGAACTTACAGATTTTGGAAAATTCTTAGCCTATCCATATTGTAAAAAATGAGAAAGTGTTTGGAAGAGAACACTACAAGTTTGGCTACATGATGCTGTGATATGGAAATTAGTACGGACCTAATCGGCTACCCTAGCAGGAAACTACCAAGCCAGTCTGAACGACAAAGAGACAGGAGGATAAAGGAAGGCTGTTGGGACTTCTTAGTTTTGAAAGGAGAGGACTGCGGGACTACCCTGCAGTGAACGTGCACTATTCTTTAAGAGAGGGTAAGAAAGATGCTGAAGGTGATTCAGAGATCAGGGCTGTCTCTTCGTTTTTTTAAAAGGGGCACCACCAACAACAAATGCTGACAAGGATGTGGAGAAAGGGGAACCCCCTCCTACACTGCTGATGGGAATGTAAATTAGTTCAACCATTGCGGAAAGCAGTATGGAGGTTCCTCAAAAAACTCAAAATAGAAATACCATTTGACCCAGGAATTCCACTCCTAGGAATTTACACTAAGAATGCAGCAGCCCAGTTTCAAAAAGACAGATGCACCCCTATGTTTATCGCAGCACTGTTTACAATAGCCAAGAAATGGAAGCAACCTAAGTGTCCATCAGTAGATGAATGGATAAAGAAGATGTGGTACATATACACAACAGAATATTATTCAGCCATAAGAAGAAAACAAATCCTACCATCTGCAACAACATGGATGGTGCTAGAAGGTATTATGCTCAGTGAAATAAGTCAGACAGAGAAAAACAAGTACCAAATGATTTCACTCATCTGTGGAATATAAGAACAAAGAAAAAACGGAAGGAACAAAACAGCAGCAGACTCACAGAACCCAAGAATGGACTAACAGTTACCAAAGGGAAAGGGACTGGGGAGGGATAAGGGGAAAAAGGGGCATTACAATTAGCACACATAATGTGGGAGGGGGCATGGGGAAGGCAGTATAGCACAGAGAAGACAAGTAGTGACTCTATAGCATCTTACTACACTGATGGACAGTGACTGTAATGGGGTATGTGGTGGGGACTTGATGATGGGGGGAATCTAGTAACCACAATGTTGCTCATGTAATTGTATATTAATGATACCAAAAAAAACCCCCACCAAAAATATAACAGTATCAAAAAAAAGTGGGGGGCAGACCATTGCCTTGCTTTTAACAGGCCAGGTAAACTCTGCCCAAAGCTACGGGGGCAAAGCCTCTTGGAAGAGCTGCCTGCCTGGAGGAGCTGCAGGGGCAGGACTGCACCCCAGTGGGTCCAGAAGGCAGACTGTCACCCCAGAGGGTTTGGAGGGCAGAAGATCCAGCCAAATGGGATTATTCTCAGGACTTGAGAGGTGAGGAAGTTTGCCTTGCTCAGTTTTGCACTTGTCACCCCTTCCTTCTTCCTGTTTCTCCCTTTAAGAATGGGGATGTCTATCCTCCCCTGTCCCATCAGTGTACTTGGGAAGCATATAACTTCTTTGGTTTTACAGGTTCACACCTGGAGACAAATTCTGCCTCAAGATGAATCAGACCTAGAGTCTTACCCATACCTGATTTAGGTGATGTTTAGATGAGACTTTAGAGTTGATCCTAGGATGAATTATGACTTTTGGGGCTGTTGGAACAAAATAAATTTTGCATGTTTTCTAACATGAATTTGGGGGGCCAGGGAAGGAATATTATAATCTGAATATATGTGTTCCCCCAAATTCGTATGTTGAAGACTAATCCCCAAAGTGATGATATTTGGAGGTGGAGTCTTTGGGAGGTGACTAGGCCAGAAGGGAAGAGACACTTCATGAAAGGGATTAGAGCCCTTTATAAAAGACACCCCAGGGAGCATGTACTCTGCTTTCTGTCACATGAAAACACAGAGAGAAGTCAGCCATCTGGCAACATGGAAAAGGGTCCTCCCCAGT